TCCAATTGTTGTCATAAGATGAAAAGGATTAACGGGGTGTGTCATCATCAATGACACGCTTGAATAACAAGAGAAAAGTTGGGCGCTTTCAATGTATAGTGCGGATCTAGCTATGGAGATGACCCCACTTAGTGAGTGACTGGGGTGGGTACTCCCAAGCCGACACCTCAGTAAGTGAATCGACAATGGTGTGAGCGTTGATGACACCATTCTCATTTGTGAGAGAACTTGACATAAGACATTTAGCCGGCATGGTTGAGTGCATAATTGCTTTTGAAGCGACTCAGAAAAGTTATAGTCTATGACGACGCGACACGATACAAGAGATTATTCATTGAAAATTTTTCACATCGCCTCGACGAAAGACTTTCTCTTGTTTTAATAAAATCTATCTATCTATCTATCTATCTATCTATCTATCTATCTATCTATCTATCTATGGCATATCCTTTAAGACGCGTGTGATCATGGCTCTTTCCAACTTCTATTCTATGAAGCTCTTGGCAATGTTTGTCTTTCTAGCGTCCTCCTACTTCCAGTACTGCCATCTACTGACAAAAGCTTGTTAGATTATCCGCTTACCTACTACTTTCCTCTGTCCCACTTGCATTAAATATGTCCTGTGCGTATCAAATTCTCCAAGCCGTCTTTCCTTATTATGTACTCTCAACATTTCAACTGTCACTTCTAAGTCTAAATATAAATATCCTTTTCGTCTATATATATATATATATATATATATATATATATATATATATATATATATCATTCAGATATAAATAAAATATGTGTTTGTAATGATAATATAAATAAAAGAGAAGAGGAAAACGTTTTATGCCAACGCGTTTCATTCCTTGGGGACCTTTATCAAGGCAAGTGTGGACATTTTATTTTATAACCTGTATTTATACACAGAGTTAACGTACAGAAGAATAAAATTATTATTAAGTTTTCAATTTTTAAATTAGAGAAGTTTCTAAGATATTCTAAAAACTTACTGTGCAAGAAAAAAATTGTTATGGTCATGGATAATCATATTGGCATAAGAAATGAACATTTCTTTTAAGAAAGGAGATCTTTGAAAAAATTGAGTGTATAAGTTAATGTTTTGGCGAGAATCGTTAATCGCACTTTCAAGAACTTTTCGTCTCAATAAGTTGTTTTCTATTATATTGAGTATAGTATTTTGAGATCGAAATTATATTTGAAAATATATGTGTGTCTAACTAAATGTATTATGTTGTTATATTTTTTGATTCTTTGATTAATAGTTTTGAGTATAGTTGCAATTATTTTACTATTGGATATATTATTTTGAATAGCAGAGGTTAAGGATTCGGTAGGTGATATTATATGCCTATTTTATATAATTTATTATTATTATTATTATTATTATTATTGTTGTTGTTGTTGTCGTCGTTGTTGCTATCGTTACTGTTATCATTTTATTATCTTTTTGTGTTGTATTTTTTTATGCTTTTCTTTTAGAATAGTGGATGAAATAAAAAGGATATTGGCGGTTTTTAAAAGAATTTTCAATATATATTTCTTCTTCAGGTAAATATTGGAAGCTGCAGATTCTTAGTACTCTTAAATAAAATCGTGTAACTACTCCGGATTTTATTCTATTACAGTTGTTGGAAAAATAGTTTATGAGATAATTCTTGTTAAATTTTTTGTAGACTTTTATTTGAAGGTTGGTATTGATTCTATTTACCATAATATGTAGGAAGGGTAATGCGTTGTTCATTTTAATTTTCAAAGTAAAATCTATCGTGGCTTTAACGTTATTAAGTCTAGTTGCAAAGTCCATTACGTTATGTGGATATGTTATTACAGTACAATTTATATATCTAAAATAAAAATAATTTTATATTAAAATATTTCTGAAAGGGGCGCTTTCTAGAAACTTTAAAGAGAGGCAAGTTAAAACGATACTAAGAGGGTAACCCATCGGTAAACCAAATATTTGTTTATAAAAGTTGTTGTCAAAAGTGAAAAACACTGATTAGTAATTAATTAGAAAATTTCTATGATATTATGTAGAGGAAGATGTAATTTTATTTTTGTTTTCGTTAAATGCGTTTTGAGTGGAACTAAGGAATGTAGCTCGTCAGAAAATTATCCATGATAATAATGACGGAGCAGCGAGAGGTTAGCAAAGCTTCGTCTGTCGAAAAGGGATTCTAGAGACAAAATAATTCATCACCCACAAGGGCGTGTAAACTCTTTTCAATTCTATCAAGAATTTAAAGTGATGATTGTGTATCTCCAGCCTAGATATGGCAGCAGTGCTTCATTTTAGGTATGATCTGTATCTTGTAAAAATAAAGCATTGCAGAAAGAGATAGGTACTTTCTGGGGTGGTACAAAGGAGCGGATATTTTGTCAGTATCTTTAGTGATTGATCAGATACACGTGTTCCACTTGAGGACTGGAGTGAGTTGAGTCCCAATAGACGTTCAAGGCAAGTAGCCACAATGAGAGTACAACCGCTCTCCCGATGAATTTATCTCCAAGTCCTTCATAGATTATATATATATATATATATATATATATATATATATATATATATATATATATATTGACAGTTAAAACATCAGTTTAGATCTAAAGGAACGAAACCCAGACGGTTTGTCGCTCAGAAGTTTTTTCTTTATCGACTAATGTCTTGCTGATGATAAACTCAATTTTTTTGCTGATGACATATAAGAGACTGATATTGCGAGAGGGAGATAATGTGACAGGGATGAGATCTCTTCCTCATTCTTGTAAAAAGCTTACAACTGACACTTTCTATAGACTTTGGAAACATTTCTCATTCAATGCAGTCGTTAACAACACCGTCAAAAGTGGAGATAGGTCTAGAGTAAGGTTCTGCAGAAATTTTATTCGAACCAGTAGTTTTGTGAAATAGATTCACTGGCAACCAGAATCTTGGTGTTTTTAAGTCCAGGGTCAACATATATCTATCCTAGGCGTGTCCTCATAATATGCATTTCTTAACCCCCACCCCCTGTCTTACAACAATCTCATTCAATAACCCTCTATCTTAACTGATCTTCGAGCCTTGCAGTGGGTGAACACACCCTTGGGCGATCGTGTCTCTTTTTCCAGATTTTCTACAGCAGGCTGCGCTTTCGTTTTGCTGGTCACCAACCAAGGTTATAGAGCCCCTCTGCTCTATTATTCAATCCATAGATGAACGAGAAGAGATAGTATCATATCTTTTCACAAGGGTATTTGCGCGAAAGTGAATGTAATGAACTCGATTGTGATTCGAACTCGGCTCCTCGTTTTCTCATTACAAGCAGTTATCCATTACACCATTACTGGATGAAATAACAGTAAAAGAAATTTGCTCCAAGAAGGTGAAGGAATTCGGGTATGTGATGTCGTCTATCGTGTAAAGGTATCATTGTATCTAACACCAATACTTTGCAAAATTCTCAGTTTTTCTCACTTGGATTAGAGGGGATATATAGAATAAGACACATGTGAAAAATTGTAGATCAAGTCGGTCGAAATGCGGTGATCCAAATATAACAATAATGAAATACTTTTTAGAGTGATCCCGTGATTAATCATATCTCTTCACCTCCAGACACCTTCAGATAATGTTGGTAAAATTTCATCTCCACGAAAATATAAATAAATAAAAGTTTAAAAAAGAACCACAACATATTATATAGATATATATTATTAGAAAACCCTTTATTCTACATTCAACACCGTCACTTGATAAAACACCAGAAGCGTTGAAACAAAATGGCTATTTTTGTAGTGATTTTATAACATATTTATGTTATAATTTTCGAATAAATAATTATATTTGCTTTACTCTGTATTGAGCACTCTTTTAAGAATAGTATTTTTTGATTACTGCAATTTATTCGGTATACGCCAATCTTATACTTGGATATATATTATATAAATATATATTATATAGATATATATTATATAGATATATATTTAAATACAGGTGAAATAAGGTGAATCTTCTAAATGTTCTGCAGTTGAATTTGAAAAAACAACAAAAAAAAAAAACAAAAAAAACAACGCACAAGTTTGTTTGTCTGAAATTTACAAAATTGGAAGTTTTATCCACGGAAGATCAGCTCCCCAAAGTTATTTGTGAATATTTCGAGATGATTAAGTGTGTTCGTTTTTGTTTATTTTTTTTTATTAGGACTAAAGAAAATTGTTTATACTTAAAAATAAAAATAATAAAAATTTCGTAAATCTAATTTAAAAGTTACTAAATTTTAATTAGTTCCTAGTGAAAAATTGCAAATCATTTCTTGTCTAAAGAAAAATTGTCACCGCCATGTTTACTTTCATGTTGTGCCACACTTTCCAATGACAATAACAACCATACGAAAAAAATTGATTTGATTGATTGAAAAGTAACGAGTCTTGTTGACATGACATGACTTTAAGAAGATAAACACAAAAATAAAAAAAAAAAAAAAAAAAAAAAAACTCCTAGAGAATGAAATGTTGAAATACTTTGAAATTAAATGAATATAAAATAGGAATTTTCGACCAATCAATAGCGGTTAGAACGACGCATTTTGATTTGTCCATAAAACAAAAAGACAAACTAATTTTCAAGAAGTATGATCATAAATATTTTAGACATGTCAGGATTTGTTTTTGTGTCTGTGTGTGAGTGTATAGAGTGTATGTGTACTTGTATATATGTGTACGTGTATGTGTGGTGTTATGTGTATATAAATTCTTTTTTATTTCTTTAGCAAATTATCTTCATCTTTGTGGTGTTGATCACAACGTTTCAACTGATATGTTTTCCAGCCTTACTCAAGGTTTGATGAATTTGAACTGCGTACACGATTCGAATGGAATGGACAACAATAGTTTTTGTGTATTCTTTATCAAATTGAAATGCTCAAAGGGATGCGTTCGAAAGATACGATGGAAACTAGATGCAAGTGTAAGTTATTTTTCGTAGTTAAAACTTTTCATACCACCTTGTATCTTGCATACATTGCTCCTTAAATGTCGCTTTTACTTTTGTTCTTTTCTATCCCCGCAATAAGAATATCACATTATTTTTTAGAATGATGCAAGAGGTACGTGAAGAAGGCCATAAAGTGTGCGAGCCGAAAAAGTGTTAAAAACTACAAAAACAATGATACTTGTCTGGATAATGTGCGGAATAATGAAAATATTTCAAAATTTCAAACGACAATTTCCTACGAATTGACTAAAGTAAGACAATATTTGAATAACACTTGTATTCGTGGATTTGACAATATATAAGCTTAAAAATATTTATTGAAATATTTTCGCTTCAGTCGAAGAAACATTTACTTAAAATCATCTTCAACTGATTGGTCTAAAAACGACCTTCTTTTAGCACCACTTCATATGGTCTCCAACTTGCAAAGATGCATTTTAACTTTTTAAATAATTTTTCTATATAAAAAATGGAATAA